GGGGCTTAAGTGGAGAGGAAATGTTTTGAAAATGATGAGGGCAATGAATGTACAAATGTGCTTTACACAGTTGATGTGTGTATGGATTGTGATAAGAGTTGTATGAGCCCCTAATAAAATGATTAGAAAAAAAAGACACAAAATAGCAACAATAATGTATAATTGATCAAATATTCAAGAGGGTGGATGGTTGAGGATGGATGGGGAAAAAAGAAGAGCTAATAATGGCTCAAGTAGAAAGGATATGTTTTAGAAATGTTGATGGCAACATATGTACACATGTGCTTAATACAATTGAGCTATGGATTGTCATAAGATTTTAAGCTGTCCCCAACAAAATGAGTACTAAAAATAAATAATTACTTAAAAAAACAAAAGTTTATCTTTGTTGTATACAAGAAATGTATCGCATTTATAATTTACCTCAGCAGAATCAATAAACATCTACCAAAAAAAAAAAAAAGACAAGTCCATCATAGCTTGAATATGAAGAAGGCAAAAAAAATCATGTCTACAAGGTGAGCCAGAACTGAAGTCGGTGGTGACTGGTGGCAATGGCTTACTGAAGGAAGCAAGAGGGAGAAGAAGCCATACCACTGAACACTTACTCTGATAGGTGCAGGTGCAGGTGGGTGGATCAGCATCGTTTGGTGAGGACCCCTGTTCTTTTGGGGGAGGAGTAAAGGAGTTCAAGGCATCATCATGAAAACTTTTCTGTGTGTTCTGTCCTGGAGAAAATGTGGATGTTCCAGTACTAAAGGAGTAGACATCCTCTTCCATTTTGGTTGAAACCACTACATGTCCACCTGAACTTACTGCATTTACATTCCTGAGAATTTGTGCTGGGTCAGATAGAGGTCTCTCATGAGAGATGCCAGGCAACGTCAGCAGCCTCTCATGCACCAGGTGCTCTTTAGTATCCTGCTGATGCTGTGTTTGGTCCTTGCCAGCCATGAAGTGAGCAAATGGGTTAAGTGTCAAGGGGGGCTGGGGCAACGGATGAGTTTTCTGATTAGCAATCCCTGTTGATGGTACCTGAGAACTGGAACCTTTGTCTATAAACACCTGCCCTGTTTTGAACGGGGATAGAAAGGATGAATCCAAAGGTTCGAACTTGATTAACTTTTCCTGTGCTATTTGAGGATGATATCTCTCAATCTTTATCTGAGTGATGGGAGAGAATAATTTGTTATGCTGTCTTGTAGAATTTGTTTGAATTTGTGGCTCAGATACTTTCTGTTGGGGAGAAATTGTTCCCATCTGAATCGGAAATCGATGTGGGCCCACATGTCCATATCTTTGAAATTTAGATCCCATCCAAATGCCATGTAACTTTAGATACTCAGATGATAGCTGTTCCTGCCTCTTCCGGTCACTGCCTACGCTAGGTGTGACTGCAGGCCTCTTTTTTCGTTGATCACTCGGGGGGTTGGCTTTCTTTTTCTGAGCTTGTCTCTTCTGCTTTGTTAAGGATGATCCATGATTATTCTGAACATTTGAGCGTGGCTTCTTTTTTATTATGCCCTTTTCCTGACTACATTTTTGCTGTGCATTACATGCAGAAAGGCTCGTTGATATACTTTTACATTTTTTGTCCTCTGGTTTTATAAAATTAAATTCAATTCTTGAGGCTAATTGTGTTAACTGTGCTGCAACATCTTCCTCTATTTGACTATGAACCGCATCCTGACCTGACAGATCGAGGTCCATCTTATTACTGCTGTGCACTAATTGAAGAGAGCCTCCCAATTTACTACTTCTTGGTGGGATCTGATGCAAACCCTTAGAATGATTGTCAAGCGGACTTCTACCACGGGCAACATTTTTGTTGATGTTCATTTTAGATGAATTTGATTTAAGCAGAGGTACTAAGCTCGTGAGTTTTGAATATACCTGTGCCTTAGTGGATCCTCGATTAGTAGCTAGGCTGTTGTTTGGATTGGCAATGTTATTTTGACCATTGAACACCACCATATTGCATGAATTTTGTTTTTCCAAAGATGGAGAATGGTGTAAGATTTGTGGCTCAGCTTGAGAGTTTGGGTCTTGGAGGTCTTTGCGAACAGAGCAAAGGAAAGCTTTACAGGTGTTAAGCAAGCTAGCAGTTCTCTGGCCCGTTTCTTCATCCTTCACTGACTTTGATGGTGAGGAATTCTCTGATGGCGCTTCTGAAAGTTGAGTCAGGGCCTCTATGGCCACCATCTGCTCCGCTGTTAACATTCTCTCTCTCATTAGGGATAAAAGAGTCGGCTGAACAGGAGACCCATCCTTTGGTTCTTTAATTGGTATACTCTCGGGAGTTTTTGGCTGTTCACTTTTATTATACAGACCATGCTGACTTTTAAGATTCAAGCGTGTGGGATCTAGAACGGACTTGTCGTTAAAGCCAGGTTTCTGGAAGACTAAGCCATTACTTCCTGCGCTGAGATGCGCACAGCTCTGGCTGGTGGCTATGGAGCACGCGACATTGTTAGGGTTTGCGGTGTCTTTCAGATATTTGTAGGAATTGTTTTCAAGTGCCTTGCCAAATTCAATATTAATTTTTTTAAATGGCACATTTGTTTCAAGTGGTAGGTAGTGTACATTTTTTATGCCGTTTCTTACAGTTTGTGATAGTAGCTTTTGAGGTTCAAGGTCACTAAGCGGGGCTTTTTTCTTGTCATCTTCGGTGTTTTTCACTTTTTCAGCTCCTGTGACAGGAGCAGTGAAATCTCCTTTGACGTGATCACTTAAATGTGTTCTCCTGTTTTGTGTCCATTTTTCCACTTCAATGCCTGTCATGCTCTCCTCCGTTCTGGTTACATTGTCAAGGGGATATGGGTTCAACTCCAATCTTTGTTCTTCCCCATGGCCACAGTTACTGTGTTCCATGGATTCTGACTTGGGGCCATTTACTAGTTTGTTGTCAAATTGTGCCTGTAAAATAAACATAAACAGTACTTTCATTCCTGAATGTTGAAGGTCTGAGAGACAACCACAGGAATGGCAGAACTGAAAAGTGAAGTCCCTGTGGATACAATGTAAAAGGGCAGTAACTAAAAATATCAAATATATGAACATGACTCAATGATATACTCAGACTATTTCTCAAAACATAGTAAAATCAAATTCTTTCTCATTTCTAATCATAGCACATGAACATCGGTATGTTCAAGTTCTTCAAAAATTATTTGTTAAAAAAACAACAAAAAACCAAAAAAATTATTAAAATTTGTCAGCATTATGTGCAATTTTATAATGTATATATTTCAAAAATTCTAAACATATAGCTGAAACAATGGTCACCTTGTTTTCAAAGAAAAAAGCTTATTAAGAGATTCTTGATAAGAAAATGCAATAAGATATTTAAATATTCAATATAGGCCAAAGCACCACACTAATCTAATAAAATAATAATAATAAAACAATTTACTAGATAAGCTCTTGTTTATACATAGTAGGACATTTAGCAGTTTTAAAAATAATGAGAAAAGGGGAAAGATTTGTCCTTAACTCATACAACTAAAACCTTCAGTCAGATTAACAATTGAAGTATTCTGCCACATAACTACAAAATCTAAATGGGGAAAATATACCTGAGAGGAAAAAGTATTGTCATGTATAAAAAAAATACATTTTAGTCTTTGTATAGTTAAATAAACTCAATAGGGAAAAAATACGGTTTCAAAAATACTGATCACAATTCATTATTCCCAGTAACAAACAGTTTTATGAGGAGGTAGGAGTTTTGTTTACTCTATTTTGAGACATGTAAAAATAAGACGAAGCTATTTCATTAAAGTAGTTCCGTAAGAATCTTTTGATTCATGTTTGACTATGTACAGAATCATATGCAAGATAATATAAAAGATATAATGAGGAGTTGATACCAAAGTCTCAAATAGAAAGAAAAAACTATTTTTTTTAGAAAGAAGACATTTTTGTACAAATGTGCTTGACAATATATGTATACAGGGATTGTTATAAGAGCTATATGTAAGTGCCCCCAATTGAAAGACTGGGTCAAAAGGATAGTGAGAAAAAGATAGGAAACAAGCCACTTAAGTGTCAAATGATGCTCAACTTTACCAAAACCTGGATCACTATGAGTTCGTTTTTTATGGTTTAGGTTATTCACATTGAAAAATACTGAGAAAGATGTCCACAACATCATTAACAGAACAGTAGGCGATGCCTCAACTCTTTAGCATTTAAAGCAAACAGTAGTCTGCATGGTGGAAAAAAAAATCTGGAAGGATATACCTAAAATGTTAATAGTAATTGTCTTCTCTGGAAATGGAATTGGGGTTGGATGGGCATTGTTTTTTTAACATGATGTTCTTTTTATATATATGCATAAGTAAGTAACCACAAAACCCAACCCAACCCACTGTCTAGGAGTAGATTCTGATTGATACTACTCCATACGGACTTTCTGATGCTGTAATTTTTCCTGGGAGCTCATAGTCTCAACTTTCTCTCACAAAGCATCTGGTAGTCAATCGCTTACCCAGCATTCTCACTCACTGGGTCTTTATACAACTATACTTTAATGTATACACTCCTCTGTCACTGTAAAGTATACATTCCTCTGCAGAAAGGATCTTGCGGTCCCCTTAAAGCAGTGGTTCTCAACCATCCTGATGCCCAGACAGTTCTTCATGTTGTGGTGACCCCCCAACCATAAAATTGTTTTCGTTGCTACTTCATACCTGTAATTTTGCTACTGTTCTGAATTGTCATGTAAATATCTGATACGCAGGATGTATTTTGAATGTTACAAATTGGACATAATTAAAGCATAGTGATTCATCACAAAATATGTAATTATAGATTGTGAAGTATTTCTTTCTAATAACAAATAAATGAAATTTTGTCTTAAAGCATGGTGAGCATGGGTAATAGTCTTCATGCCCGGTACACTCGTATGTGGGTGTATCTGCACGTGGGTGGACCTGCCTGGAGACCATCGGAAATAGGTGTTCCGATGGTTTTAGGCGACCCCTGTGAAAGGGTTGTTCACCCCCTTACGGGGTCGCTACCCATAGGTTGAGAACCGCTGACTTAAAGATTTGTGTACTGAAAGAATATTTTCATAAGACATTCGCGCTAACTGGTTTCATTAGCTAGCATAAATAAAGGAATAGACATTCTGATATAGCCCAACATGCCTTTTATAATTCTGGGTCTCTTTAAATTCTGGGACGACTAAAATTTGACCCTAACATATTATCAACTACTAATACCACACTCTTTAAGAATAGAACACCTAGGGGGGGAGGGGAAGAAACGGGGAGCGGATATCAGGGGCTCAAGTGGGAAGAGAATGCTTTGAAAACGATGATGGCGGCATATGTGCAAATGTGCTCGACACACTGGATGATGTATGGGTTGTGATAAGGGATGTAAGAGCCCCCAATAGAAGTATTTTTAAAAAAAACCTTCAAGCACTAGATTTCTGTAGAGCTAGTGAGCTTTTTCCTTTTTGTACCTTAAGAAATCACCACTTTGATTGAACTATTGAATTATAAGTTATATGGACTGTGTCTTAATAAACCTATGTGTGTATTACACATACACACATGTACACACACACACACACACACATATATATAGAGAGAGAAATCACCGAACTCTTGCAAATACATTTCACTAAAGCATGGGAGGGGTATGCACTCATGTACAGTGAACCCTCGTTTATCGCGGTTAATCGGTTCTAGACCCTACCGTGATAAATGAAATTCCGCGAAGTAGGATTCCTTATTTGTAAATCAAATATTTTCGTAGTTAGAGCATAGAGGACATGAAAAAACACCCTTTAGTCACCATTACACTCGCATTACCCAATTTATTAAACGAAAAAGGGAAAATACAGTAAAACATTTTGGACGTTACAATTATCATTTATTATATTATTTATGGCATCTAGTTTACAGTATTACATATTTCACATACAGTATTATGATACATAGTTCTTACAAATACTGTAATCAATAGCCTATGAAATGACTTAAGGGATGTACTCTACAGGTGGGTCGCCGTCTTTTTCCTCCGAAGGAGCGGGTATAGGCAGTGGGTGCTGTTACGCAAAAACCGCGATAGAGTGAAGCCGCGGAAGTCGAAGCGCGAAGTGGCGAGGGTTCACTGTATTGAAGAGTGCCAAGTAACCTTAGCTAAGAAAATACCTGCTCTTGTGTAACACCTCATTCAGATGGAAACTGAGTGACCAGTGTAAATAGATTCGTGGGTTATGGGGAAAAGGAAAAAAATCCAAGTTCGGCTGATCAAAAGTGAATCAACTGATAGGAAATTGAAAGTAAAGTGATATTTTGTTAATGAGGCAAACTCTCAAAAAAAGTGAAATTTTAAGTTGTACAACATGAAAAAACATAATATAAATTGATTATATAAACATATAATTGTAATACAAAAATTGTTGAATTGGTTTGTGCTGGTTTGTATATTCTCAGCAACAAAAGCAAATAAAGTAGTTTAAAAAATGAAATACTCAATAAGGTTGCAATTCTGAAATAGTGAAGCATCAGCATGGATAAGTGAAATGGCTCGTGTCATAAAGAAGCATGATGCAGCTAAATAATGTGTGTGCACATACTTTGAATAGAAACAAACCTAACTGCTATTAGTAGTTAATCCTGGAGACAGTTGGGATAAGAGGACAATACTCATGTGACTGAACCTAAACTTGAGGTTCCTGCCTTGTAAAATAATTATCCATCAGTGATGTGATGAGCATTATACAAAATAAATCTAAAATTATCAGCAAATGAGAACTAATTATCAACGAAATAGAACAGTAGCACAAGCTTATCAGTTCAAAACCACCAGCCACTTTGCAGGAAAAAGATGAGGCTGGCTACTCAGGTAAAGATTTACTACTTAGGAAATGCTATATAGGATCATTATGAATTAGAATTGATTATAATGCAAAGAATATTAGTGATATTACATGAGATAAATATTTAAAATAACATGCCTAAGAGAATGGCAAATATAGAAATGTTTAATTGGTTTGTTTGGTAAAACTGAGAGGACACAGAAACTATCAAACAATGCTGGTGGGATGCAAGACTCAATTTACTGAGGGTAATTTGGCAGTGTAGTATTTGTAAAAAATTTTTAAGGGAGGGAAGGGTAAAAATGAGGAGCTGATACCAAGGGCTCAAGTAGAAAGAAAAAAATTATAAATGCAATTTACATTTCAATATAGCAATCCTGTTTTGGGGGCTTTATCTACAGGTATGCCTGTACAGCATGATACGTGGTATTAGTGATAATACCCAAATGACTATCTGTAAAAACCTTTCCATTGTTAGTAGATAATCAAATACTGTACTCTGTAAACTAACACGTGATTTGTAATGGATTAAATGGAATGTGATATGTTGTATAAACTTTCACTTTAAAATATTTTAAAAATCAAACAAAAACTACTGGCCTAGACAATTACATTAGTAAAAGAAAAAAATTAAATGTTCACATTTGTTTACTTATAAATGAATAAGCTAAAGAACTTGTATATAGAATGCATTCTGAAAAAAAAAAAAAAAAAAGAAGCAAACCCACTACCATCTAGTTAATTCCAACTCCTAGCAAACTTACATAGAGCTATCAATAAGTGTTTACTCCAGTAGACAAGGTCATCTTTCTTACTCAGAATGGCTGGGATGACCCCAACACTTAACCCACAGTGCTAGCGGGAAATAATATATATCCATGTACACAGAGAAATCAGTATAAATGATGAGTACAATGAAGGTGGAGGCAACATTTAACAAAGAGAAAGAGACTAAGGCATTTGGTAATTAGACTCACATTTTATCCACTATTGCTTTGATTTTAAAAATATTACCTTAAAAACTAGTCCAAACCTGAGACAAGAACTTGCTACACCTAAAATAAAGGTTCCGAATAGCATA